TTTGAGGTTTAGGGGTTTAGGGGTTGGGGGTTTTGAGGTTTTGGGGTTTAGGGGTTTAGGGTTTTGAGGTTTAGGGGTTTAGGGGTTGGGGGTTTAGAGGTTTAGAGGTTTAGGGGTGTGAGGTTTAGGGGTTTAGGGCTTTAGGGGTTTAGGGGTTAGGGGCTTTAGGGGTTTAGGGGCTTTAGGGGTTCAGAGGGTTAGGGGTTTAGGGGTAGGGTTTAGAGGTTTAGGGGTTTAGGGGTGCAGGGCTTAGAGGTTTAAGGGTTCATTCTGCCCAGGAACTGCTCTTTGCTTAACCAGCAGGCGGATGATGTCGACTTGACCATCACGGGCGGCCGCAACCAGAGGGGTCAGGTAGCTGACGTGCTTCTCCTTGTCCTTAGTTGGGAGCTTCCGATGCCTGACGACACAGCCACACAGCCGCAATCCCTAAACCCTAAACCCTAAACCCTAAACCAAGATCCTAAATCCCATCCCTAAAATCACAGCCCGGTACGTTTCCAAGCTGGAAAAGCGGCTGCTTTCTTGTGCAGCAGCAGCCGAACCTGCAAGGAAGGATCTTCACGGTTTAGGGTTTAGGGTTTAGGGGGCAAGTATGTCGGACTTGTGTGATGGGTAGTTGTCAAAATTATGGTCCCTTTTGGGGTACTCTAAATCCTAGGTGCCGTATTATAATAAGGACCCCAAAAGGGGACCATAATTTTGACAACCACCCAGATGGCAAGTATGTCGGACTTGTGTGAGCTTGATGGCTCTGGGCTGTGCGGTGCTGGGATTTAGGGTTTGGGCTGTCGGGTGTATCTGGTTCAGCGCGGTGCTCCAAACAGGGTCTAGAATTACAACCAGACAAAACCCAGAGTCCATAGGTCTAAATCCTCGTGTGGTTATCATGCGCCGTAACAGCTGAGGTTCCAACTACGGTATGTTTACGTAAAGTTCCCTCAGAGCAATTAGCAATGACCTCGCTTGTAGCCCCCATGTAATTATGGTATAATGTATCCCATAATGTATGCACAACCCATTGAGGCCGCTATAGTAGGTGCCCAGGACCAGGTCTTACTCCATCGAAAGCTTTGCCAAGGCGCCACGTCCTTGTAGCCCTTCAGACAAGCCATCGTAAGGGGCCTCGGGTCAGGCTTCTTTAAGCAAATTAAAAGGATAGGGCTTTGGGGTATACTATAGTAAGACTAAATTCGGCAACCCCAAACCATAGTAATGGCAGTATTGGTTAATACTTGGGTGTTGGCATTGTTTATAGTGCCTTTTAGTAAGCTTGGGGCGTCTGCGCTGATTTACAGCAGGATGTGGGGTTGTGAGATGCACGGCCTGGAGATATGCAGTAGGGTCGCAGCGCTATAAGCCCCAAACCTACCGTTCAGAGGTTGGGTTTGGAGGTTCTGGCATTCGGGGGTTACCTGTTGATAGCTTCACGTCACAAGCAGATACGAGCGCCTCTTCATGCAGGCTCAGGCTCTAAATGCTGTACTTGCAGCACTATATGTGAGTTCAGTGTTGACTGCCAGTTTGGCCAACTGCTGCAACCACCACCACCGCCACCGCCACCCCCACCACCACCACCACCACCACCAACAACAAGAACGCAAAAACCTCAATGGCAGTAGCAGCAGCAACGAAACCAAGGTACGCGGTCCAAATGCCGCTGCGAGTCAAGCGTGTGTCTTTCTCTTGTGGCGGTGTGCAAAAGCCTTTGTTGACTTTGCTTTGTGTGCAACAAGGTCTTGCAGACATCGTTGCTTTGGGCTCCGTTTGTTGCTTGCTTATGGTTTGGGCTGGCAAATTATTCCAATCGCACAGCAGATAGAACACATTGTTGCACGCACGGCCCACGAAACGCACAGGCCCTTGCAGATCCCAATATCATGCTGGAATGATGATATACTATACTCCGACCAAAACCCTATTCTAATTGCTATGGCAGCCATATTAACAGGGATTCGCTGTTAGAGAAAATCTAAGCCCCCGCCCCAGCCCTTGGCGGCCCGTGCGGCCCCAAGCCCGAAAACGGAGCAAAATAACACGACACGACAGAACTCCAAGCAGCTTGCGGGGCATCAGCGTATCACCAGAAAAAGTGAGATGAAATCAACGGGCTGTTGTGCAGTAAATGCCATTGCAAAAAGCCACTTCTTCACAAGGGCTCGAGTCTTGGCATTTCCCAGGGCTAAAATCGACACAGTCATCTGTGCTGCACCCGAACAACAACAACCACCGCCGCCGCTACCACCACAACAAAAACCCTTAAACCCTAGACCCCAAACCAAACGACTCCTCATGTAACTGTAAACCCTAAACCTCAAAAACCCAAAACCGAAGGACTCTTCCTCAACTGACTTGTCGGGTATGATGGGGAACTAAAGGTTAACCTTTGGGGTTTGTATAGGGGTTACATAGGGATATACTACCCGAAAAAGGCTAAAGGTTACCTACTCTACTACTAGGTCAAACTGGAGACACGGGGCGTGAGACCAGGCTCCTTGTTGCACTTGTTGACATCAGCTCGGATCTTGCAGGCAGCTGACTTGTCGTTTGGGATCTGAGGTTGAGAGTTTTGGGTTTAGGGTTTAAGGTTTAGGAAGTGAGCTTGAGGCTGTCGGGCTTTGGGAATCAGGGGGTTCATGAATCAGGTTGACATGTTTCAGGTGCAGGGTTTGCAAAGTTTAGGCGGCTTAGGCTTTAAGGTTTAGGGGCTTCACGCTAAGGGTTTTGGGTCTTGGGCCAAGGGCTTCAAGGCTTCAGCTAGGTGCTTTCGATTATTGGGGGTGTAGGGCGCTCGTTAAGGTCCTCTGCAGGCAACTTGAATCTTTCGGGCTCAGGGGGTTTAGGGTGTTTCGGGAAAGTTTAGGCTTCCTACCGCCTCGGGTTTGGGATTGCTTAAGCCTTCGTCCGGGCTTCCAGGGTGGAAGAATTCAGAACTTGACTCGCGTCTATCTCAGATACGCATACGGAAAAAGTTCCAGTTGCTGATGATCCACTCGTGAGCACTTCTGTTGCAGCGCTGCGTTCAACCCTAATTCAACCCTATTCGGGCATCGGGATGAAGAGGGACTTAGGGTTAACATCGGATGTAGGAGCACTGAGAGCTCTTTGAAGTTAACTAGGCTTCACGCGCAAGGGGTTCGGGTCTAGGCTTATTTTCTTCGGGCTTAGGGTGTATAATAGGACCTAGGAGTATCTTTAGAATTGCTGCGGGGGGCTTGCTCTGCGGGATGCTTTGGCTGGGGGCTTCTTGTCTTTGTTGCTGTGTTGGCAAGCCTTCAAGCAGGCTAAAGCCTAAAGCTTAAAGCCTGAAGCCTATGTTAAGCCCTAAACCTAGACACTAAACACTGGACCTTAAACCTGAACCCTTAAATACCCTGGCTGAACCCGGGAAACTCTCTCAAGTGTCAGCGCCAGGGAGACTCCCCAACCCGGAGCCTTTTAGTACTTAAGGTTTAGGGTTAGGGATTTTGAAAGTGTGGGTTGGGCCATTGGGTTGAGTAAGGGTGTCAAACAGGTCTTGTGCAGTGGCTTCAGGATAGAAGTTTTAGCAGCGTGGGGTTTTGTAACATTCTCTAGAAGAGTCGCAAAGGGGGTCTTTCGGGTGTGTTTGAGGAACTGCCTTCAGCTCCCATAATGGGCTTACACAGACTAGACTTGTCAACAAGTAACTTGTGACTTGGACTGGTTAATGTTCAGAGCGCTGGGTTCAGGGTCGTTCTTTTAAGGGTTCCGGGATTAGTGGCCAGGGGCTCAGGGCCTAAACCCCAAACCATAGATTCGGAATTGAGAACTCTAAACTCGAAACCCCAAAACCTCACGCGGTGGGTTGTGGGATGTGAGGCTCACGGGTTTCTCGGGCGTGGGCCTTAGATGGTCTGGGACGGTGTAGGGTGCAACGGCTGAAGCAGGCTCATAGTTTTACAACACTTACTCTCCATATTCGCCTGAAGATGGTGCAACGGCTGAAGCAGGCTCATAGTTTTACAACACTTACTCTCCATATTCGCCTGAAGATTCTCTTGCCCAAGCCTCAAGAGACTGCGTCACTGAGGTTTAGAGTTTTGGGCTTCCTAAACCACTGACACTCAAATATCCTGAACCCTTCATCCCTCCAACCAGAGGTCCTGAAATAATGTCAAACCCGAAACTCAAAGCCCGCACGCACCCCGCCAGAACGGCTCTTAACTCGCCATGGCCCCCAAACCCCAATTGAGAAGGCAGACTTTGAGGAGCCACCGGATTGCTGGCAATTGTCGCTTCCTGGGCTTGTCAACGAATCGAGGCCTTCTGTTCTAAATCCCTAAACCCTGAACCTTAAGCACTGGACCCTCAACCCTAACCCCCTAAACCCTAATCCCTGAACCCTAAACCCCTAAACCCCTAAACCCCTAAACCCCTAAACTCCTAAACCCTAAACCCCTATACCCCCAAACCTCTAAACCCCTAAAC